TCAAAATTTTAAAGAAAATTTAATTAAAAATTTAATTTTGTTATTAATTTTGAAAACTTGTACTTAACAAGTTGTTGACTTTAATTTTTTAAATTTAATTTTTAACTTTAAGACCTCAATTTTTATTATTCAAAATTTGGCAATATAATACAACAATATTACTAAAAGGGCCCGTAGTTGTTGTTGAAAATTTTTAAGGCCAATGAAAACTATAATATTGTTTGAAAATTTTAAAATACGTTAAGTTGCTTCTGAATTACTTAAGCCTGGCTTGAATTATATTTAAGTAAAATAGATTTTCACAAAGTGAGTCCACAATGGTAAAAGTGGATTTTTAACAGCAATTATGGGCTAACAATAGCTTCTTCTAATGACAAAGTAGCTTCTGCCTCCCCAAACATTAATGGATATATAATTAGTAACTATCCTTTTTATTTTTTTAGTAATTAACGGTTAAAGTAATAAAAGTATTGATCACTCATCAACAATAATTCATTTTTTTAATTCCCGTACACAATAAAATAAATATAATGGGAGGGAATTGAGTAGTAATTAAATTAAGGCACCACAATCATCATCTTAAACAAAACCGTACTTATTATTTTTATATAAATTATTATAAGATTTCTATATTATCATTAACCTTCACTTTTGGACAAATTATGAACAAGAAACTAGAGTACAGGCGAGACACAACTCCTAAAAAAGAAGACTTGTATAGCTGGCAAGCTGAGAATTACCAAACGCAGGACATAAAACTGCATATGGCAATACAATTTAAAAGGTTTAAAGTTTACTAAGCTAAGGTTTTAATTTAGTATAGTAGTTAGGAAATACATATATAATTAATAAATTAGTTTTTATTGGTTAATTAAAAGCAAGTCATCTAGAGAGCGTTTGACAAAACTTAAAAATTACTTGCTTTAAAACTAACTTTTTTCTTAGGTGTTTTGTTTAAAGCCTAAATATATAATAAATAACTTATATAAAATAATATTAATTATAATAATATGATATAAAATTAACAAAACCTTCAAATCAACCCTTAAAAAAGATCAATAAAGACAAATCTACCCCTCAAAAAAATGAAGGGACAAATTGCTTTTTTAAATCATAAATTAAGATAAATCACTTGTTTTTAACAAAAAAACGTTAAAATTCAATTTATCACGTCAACATTTTGTAACAGAAAACATTAAAAAATAAATAATTTGTTTTGATTTATAATTTAAAAAAATAATTTATGTTTTTATTTTTGTGAAGTGTGGATTTATCGCTATCAATTTTTTTTAATGGTGAATTTAGAAGATCTGCATATAAAATAAGCTTTTTTATCATTCCCTTTGTACATGATCCTAAGGCCTTGTACCCATGTTAACCATGCCGTTTCAAGCCCTCGAAGAAGATAGTAGACACTAGCCCTTTCGTGAGTTTGCTTTATATTTTAAGACCCATGGTGCTCAGCACCGCTCAGTCTTCTATTGACGGCCCAAAAAGCACGCGAATAACGAAATAATTAAATGCGAATTTTGATCCTCAATTTTGGGCTTTTGTATAGTTTTAATCCTTTAATTTTTTTTTTACTTTTTTACTCTCTTAACTATAAAAAATACATTTTTTTCTTTTTGTCAATTAATTCATGAAGTTTATCTATATATGTATATTTTTAGTTCCTCAACTTTTAAATTGAGAGATAAAAATTATGTAAAATTCTAAAAGTTGAGGGACTAAAATATGTATATATATAGATAACTTTAACAAATTAATTATCAAAATGATTAAAAAAATAAATTTTTTATAATTAAAAGGCCAAAAAAATAAATAATCAATTAAAGGATCAAAACTATTTAAACTTAAATTTAAGGGATCAAAATTGGCATCACCCTTTCCTCACCACAGGGGGTATGTAGAAAATGATTAATAGTTCTAATATTTTTTTTAATATTTGATAATTGATTATATAAAACAAGACAGCACTCTCTTCTTCTTTTTTTTTTTCAAATTTAAATTATCATTCAAGTATTGTTTAAAATTATGTGAAAAAATAAACAACTTATATTTTGAAAAGAAAGGGAGTAACCAAAGAAGTATATAAACTACCGTGATAATACATGCTAAAACTAAGGAAAAAAATTTTTTCGATTAGTGGCTTGAAGTCTTACTCACAATTCTTTATTAAGATAAAAGTAAAATAAATTTTTGCCAATAAACAAAACCCACCTGCATCATTCACTAAACACACACTTTTTTTTTTTTTTTTTAAATTTGGACAATGAAGATGTTTATAAATCAACTTCTATATATTTTGAAACTAATTTGTAAAACAACAGTTACTTATTATTGGATTTAACTTGGCTGGATTTCAAACAGTCTTATTATTAGTATTTACATGATTGAGCAGCCTGGTTGAGTTTCTCCACAACCGCTCCAGCTGTCGCAAACGGGTCTCCCATAACACAGAACGCATTGGACTTGCCCGCCACAGTAACATGGGCCCCAAGGCCATCCGCTACAGCATTTACAATAACAAAACCCCTGGACTTGCAGATCTACAGATACTTTCACATGCTTTTCCGCAGGCGGAGGCGGAGGTGGAGGTGGAGGCGGAGTCGGCTCTTTGATCTCAATGCTCTTGATGCATCCACCACCCTTGCAGCATAACTTGTCCCTGATCTTCTCCGGCAAGCAGCTCACCACCTTAATTGTCACCTTGTTTGCCTTCTCATCATACTTCTGATCTCGTATTTCTTTAATTAATTTGTTCACAACACAACGACTCAGTCCACTTGGCTAATCAAT